CCAAAATCGACCTGTTCTCAGCAGAGCTCCTGAAGAAGGAGCTGTATAAATATATTGAGATGGTTTTTGGTACTTATACCACAAATATATATTCTTAAGGACATCAAGACTTAAAATAAAACTCCAGAAAGGTGTACAATATGGGACCTTTAAAATTACTAACTGAAACTGAACTAAAACAAAAATTATTAAATTAATTTGAAGAAATATTTGTATATTTATATAAAAATATAAATAAACATATAAATAAAAATATATAAAAAAAAAAATTATATTTATATAAAAATATAAATATTCATATTTTATTTATTTATTTATTTTTAGATTAGATGAAAAACAAACTAACCAAAAACCAGAAATGTTGCTTTGGCAACTAAAAAAATAATTTTGTTGAAATAAGTTTGTTAAAGAACTAAAATAAAAGCTAAAACTGGGAACTAAAACTATTAAAAATCATTCAGTATTTAAAAAAAAGCTCAAATAAAATAAAATATAAATATTTAAAAACTTAAACTAAACAAAAATTAGAAATGTTGGCTTGGCAACTAACTGAAATAAATTAAATAATAAATTAAAACCGAAGCATTAAAATTACTAAATGAAACTGAACTAAAACTAAAATTATAAAAAAATAATTTTCATAAATTATATGTTTTATTTATTTTTTATTGATTGATTGATTGATTGATTGATTGATTGATTGATTGTTTGATGATTGATGATTGATTGAAAATCAAACTAACCAAAAACCAGAAATGTTGCTTTGGCAACTAAAAAATAATTTGTTCAAATAAGTTTGTTAAAGAACTAAAGTTACTAACTGGGCAGGAATAAAAAACTAAAACTGAACTAAAACTAAAATTATAAAAAATATAATAAAAAAATATAAATATAGTCATTGCAGTAATTGAAATAAAATAAAATATAAATATTAGATAAAAACCTTGTAAACTAACTGAAATAAGTTTAAGCTGAAGCACTGAAATTACTAAGAAATTAATAAAAACTAAAATAAAAATAATAAAAAAATAGAAATATAAAAAAACCCTAATAAAAATTACAATAGCACAACAAAAATAAAACTAAAATTAAAATAATAAAAAAATAGAAGTATAAAAAATCCTAATAAAATTACAATAGCACAACAAAAATAAAATGAAAACTGAACAAATGAAAGTAAAAAAACAAAGAGATGCAGTGTTTAAGAAGCACTTGCTGTGGAGGATCACAGTCAGACTGGACCTGGAGGACTGATGTTTATGTTATGTTTAAACGTATGTTTAGCTCCATCAGCTGAAGAGGAACCTGCTGGAGAAGAAGCTGAAGCAGAAGCAGAAGCAGGTAGAGATACGAGACGTTCCTCTGATATATCTTCACACTTGCGGCAGTCAAACTCTGAGGCATTTTCAAATGACTATTCAGGACATTCTCTTCCCAAACTCATCCTTATTTCACTTTCCTGAGCTCATAATGGGATTTAAACTCATACCGCAGCACTTTCTGTGCTCGCTGGACTGTAAAAAGCTCTGTTCATCGTGCAATAATTGGCTGAATATGAGTGAAGATGCTTTTATCTAAAGCGACTTACACTGCATTCAATTGAAATATGAGTTTTGTGATCATTTATATTTGAAACGAACTTCTAAAGCATTAAAACAAATATTTTTAAGATTTATGTATTTGAATTGCATGTAAAATTTCAACTAATTTGGATTGCACAGCTTTCACATAAACTCTAATGTGAGACATCAATGAAACGGGTCAGATTTCTGTCATTGTTTTTATTAAACTGAAAGTGTTTTAAATGCACAATAACAACCTTTACATCAGGGCTGTATGTTAACTTTTTTTTCACATAGCACTGGTGCTACAGAGGTTGAAAGTTTTGTAGCACAGGCCAAAAAGTTGTAGCACAAATATCAAACGTCTGTTATCATGTCTGAAAACAAACACAAGTAATGGAGTTCATCACTTAATCAGCGTAGCACGTGCGACATATATGTCGCACTGTACAGCCCTGCTTTACATATTTATCACCACTTTGTTTCAATTTCATATATTTATCTAATTGATTATTGCTGGTTCAGTCATATTTTAACCAGGTTCGAACGTTTTAACTGAATACATGTAATAGTTTTCCCACTGAACAGATTTATGCTGATTCAAAGCCATTTGAATAAATGCATTATTTTGAATGTTATTTAAATTTAATCAAATAGATGCAAATAGCTAATAATAAACTATAGCATGGTTTCTGAGTGAGTGTAGAAATCTGATCCTTTTTAAATTTTTGTATCCGTGCAATTTTAGATACTATTATAGTTTTTGTTAATATTTTGAATTAGATTTCATGTTAATTTTAGTTAAAGCTTTAGTCATTTTTTATTAATTTTTGTTGTTTTTAAATGTCTATATAGTTTTTATTAATTTTTATTTCATTTTTAGTTTTAGTACATCAAGATAAACTAAATGAAACCAGCTGAGTTCAAGTTTTATATATTTTACTTCATTTCACTTAACATTTATTTTATTTAAAATAAGTTTTAAAATGGTTTTAATTGCATGACTGACAAATATGCATCGCATCAAGTTTATTAGTTTATGTTAAAACTCTGTAATCCACATGCATGGAGATTTTATATGCAATTCAAACTCATAAATCTTATATTTAGGCCACAATATTTAGTGACTGTGTGCAAAGCTGTATATGACAGCCTGTATTAATGCAAACACATTATAGTGATCAGTGTTTGTTCATTGTGGTTCTAGATGAAGCCGATGCAACTATAACAGGTACGCAGCTCACTTTCTTTTTAGTTTATATATATATATATATATATATATATTAC